ACGGCATCTTTATTTCCGTGCTCAGCAGCACTCTCCTTGATTTCTTCTTGGACCCCTCCCTTAGGTCCGGGAGTTCTCTGATCCACCTCCATCTCAGGAGGTGGTGGAGGGGTCTTTTGAGGAGATTGGGGTGTTGGCTGGGGAACCCTCGGCGATCCATTGCCTTCCTCAGGTTCCCTTATTGCGACGCCGATGGTCATCGGCCTCTGCTGAAAATCATGAGGGCCGATGATAGCCATCCTTCGGCGCCTTTTCAGAAGGGGCTGCTCGTCCATATCTGAGTCTGAAGACTCTTGTATTTGATCTTCGGGACGAACAGGAGCTTTGCCTTCTCTGTGTCTGTTACTCTCTTCAGACTGTAACAGACAGGGGGGAAGAAGAGTAAGAGTGTGAGTAAAAAAAAAAAAAAAAAAAAAAAAGAAAGAAAAAAGTTGTCTAAAAACTCACCGAGGTCTTCAGCAAAGCCTCGTCTTCTTCAGCTGCTCTAGCTGCAGCTTCGGCTTCAGCAGCTCTGGAGGACCCTTCTCCTCCTTCACAAGCTTCAATAACCCGTGCAACCTCTTCGGCTGTACGGGCAGCTTCAGCTTCTTCTTCCAGCAGCTGAAACAAGGGATCCCTCTTCTTCCACCAAGGCTTCTGCCTCTGATACAGAGCAACAGCCTCAATTTGGAAGTGGGAAGAGTCTAGGTGAACCTCTCGGCGCCTTGGTTCAGTGATAGGGGGAGCCCGATCAGTTACGACTCGTTCTCGGTTGACGCCAAGGCGAGCGTAATCAATGCCGACGTTGGTCTCGTCCCGTTCTGAAAAAGAAAAGGGGAGAAGTCAATTCAGTTAGTTCGGCACATCACAAGAAAGCAAAATGAAAGAAGAAAAGAGATAATTAAAAGGCCTCGGCCCCAGCCGAAGAAGATTACCATCCCTAAACTTTCGGCTGAGGCCGACAGCTGCCAGCATATTCTCTTGGAAAACATAGTGCGTATCGGGGAGCCAAGTCTCCGGGATATGCTGCATTCGGCCGCTGCCTCCCCGGTTCGGCAGCTTGCCGAAGATGTTCTGCTGATTAAGGTTCGGGTCTGGCCCGCTATCTTCGGGAGGACCTAAACTTCCCATATCAGGATCCGGCTCGGCAAGATACCGGGGAGCGCTGAAAACATAAGGATGGCTCGGCTCCGTGGGCGCCCTAACCCAAATCCATTGACCTCTCCAGTCCTTGTCTGAAGAGTCGTTCGGCCACATGGTTAGGAACGGGGGCCGAGACTCAATCCGATACCACCCAGAGCCATGGCTTCCGTGCCCACTCTGAATATTTGGCACTAGCCGATGGAGCTTTCTGAAGCAGTGCAGGTTCGGCACGTATCTGAAGAATTTGCAGACCCATAAGTACGTCATTACCCTTCGGATGCTGGTGGGGGTCAGCTGGCACAGGGAAATGTTGTAATGGATCAGCAAGTCTCGGACGAATACGTCCAAAGGGAACCTCAGCCCATACTGAAGCTGTCTCGTGTACACCCCCACATACCCCGGGGGTGGACGATGGATTCTATCGGATGCTGAGGGCATTCGGCACCAATATCCATCAGCTTCAAAAATGCCGTAGTGCAACTCAATTTGCTCAGCAAATCGATATTGATCGGCGTTCTCTACCCACCATGAGTAGGGACGGTTCTTTATCATGGCCGAAGCTACTTCGGCATCCTCCCACTCTGAAAACCCTGGGAGGATATCCCAAAGGACAGCGGGAACTTCATCATCCCGTCCTGAAGCTCTCACCCCCTCAGCCCTCTGAGGAGGAGCCGAAGAAATGGGAGTCGCCCTAACCCCTTCAGCAGGGTCAGACTCTGTCCTTCGTCCATTCCAGGTCCCAATCCTGTCCCTGGGATTGGGGATTAGCCTTGCTCTTCTTGGAGCACGGGCTCCACCTCTAACTCCCCTCACCATCGACGAATTTCGAAGGAAAAAGTCGAAAAAGGGGAAAGAGTGCAAAGTCGAGGAAAAATGAAATAAAATCAAAGGAATTTACCTTGATCTGAAGCAAAAGCCGCCGATTTACGAATTGGTAGTGACAAGTCTCAGCTTCTAAGCTTAATGCTCGGGGAATTTGCGAAGTTTTGATGCGGGCTCTTGAGCGTTCTTGAGAATTCTGGGTTTGTGTTGATGAGTGAGTGGGGAGAGAAGACGCGCCTCTATTTATATCTCCAGAAATGGGAATTCAAGGAGTCTGCGTTTCAATTTCTCTCAAGCACCCCACTAAGTAACCGTTAAACACACAACCTTGCAGTTAAATCGCCCACTACCCGTCCAACTTCCGCAATCATCCACATTAACTGTTGTTATCTCATTAATCATGGGTTAATTACGGTTTAAATTCACATTTTTGGATCAGCAAATCATTCACTTCCCTCCTTTTCTGGTTAAATCAAACCCGACCCGTCATCCTTCCAAATCGGGTCTGGGGGGCAAGTTGTTTGGGTCCAATTTAGTCCAATTGGGCCTGGTCACTGAATGATCCAATTAAAAGCCCAAGGCAAAGGTTCAACTCTCCAAATATGCTAAAGTCAAAAATCAACATCCTCAAAGCCATGTCAAGGTCAGTCAACGGCCCAATCAGCTTGGCCCAGCCCAACTGATTTCCGGGCCCAATCCGCCTCCTTCATTAGCCAAGGTATAAAAGCCAACAATTTGGTCAATTCTTGGTAAGAAAAAAGAGTAAGACAAAGACAAAGACAATAAGCCTCAAGCAACTAAACTCTTGCACAGCTTTCTCTCTCTAATATACTGACTTAAGCATCGGAGGGGCCTTCCTCGGCGTCCCCCCCGAGGCTAGTTTACGTGTATTTGTTGTGCAGGAAACCCTCGGCTCCGGCGTCGTTCGGACCGAGACCAAGTTCCCTCGGAAGATAAAAGGATCTTCCGAGATTCGATTGTTTTCATCCGAAACAGGTGTAATTCATAATATCTAAACTTATTACGGTTGTTCATTAAGTTAGAAATGTAATTTTAAGTCGGTGTGTATAAATGATGAAGTAGAGTATGTGACACATTATACAGTTGACATGATTTTATTCTTGTTCTCGAACATTTTGATGATGGTGGAGTGATCCAACTTTGGATGACCATTTAACTAAATTGAATAATGTAGATCATACAGCGTATTAGTGTGTACATTCTATATGTTATACTTGTATAGTTGTATATCTTTTCTGTATGTATTTTAAGGTACAATTAAAACAATAAAGATGAAAGAGAGTGGTGTGGATTAAATCATGTACTTTGTATTACTCTCTTTGTCCCTATTTTTTTGCCCCATTTGACTGTGCACGGTCTCCAAGATGTGTATTAAAACGTCTAAATCTTTATTTTCATACACGTAAAAATTATAAAAACGTGATATTAATAAAATATACAAATCTAACGGGACCACTCATGATTAAATTATGTTTTATAGATTAACGGTAATTAATGGTCAAAGTTTTTTCAAAATTTAACCCCAAAAATGACAATGGGGCAAAATAAAGGGACGGAGGGAGTATTTAGGTATACACTAATACACTATAACAGATACATTTTAATGACTTTGAGATGTTAGGAACAAAAATGACATAATTTCCATTCCTTTTTATAAGATAATGATGACTAAATAAACATGGATGAATAAAGAGAAGATCTATAGTGAGGATTCAGGTTATCCACAACATAAAGTAAAATCAACATAGTGTAAAATTTAGAATTCTAAGATGATAAATAAAATACGTAGTACGAAATATATTGGAGAGGTTGTTATATACACTCGGGTGTATCGTACATTTAGAGTATTTGTTCCCATTTTAATGATTGTTTTTTATTTTATCATCTAATGAATAGCAAAAACTAACTTTAAGTTAGTTGGATGTACGGTACACCCAGGTATATATAACAAATTCTAAGTATATTGCAACCTAAAAAAAGTAACATGTATAAAGTATGTGTTGTTCGGTTGTTCCTAGCTAGCTTGTAATAGTGTCAAGTGTCATTTAGGTGTAACAATTCCACGGAACCATTGTTGTCGACATACAAAATCATTAAAAATACAAACTAAATAAAATAAAAAACAACTTTAAATCTAAAACGGTCAGAAATCAGGAGTGTATTACAGTATATAGTCATGAGTGGTACCGAATATTAATGATTAATCAAAGTTAAAGAAGAATAATTAGGTGAAAGCATATAATTAATGTTTTCCTTTTTATCATAAATCGTTATTTATACCAGTACTCGTATAGTATATATGCACGGCCGCGCGAGTGGTTGTGATTGTGATTAAGCTAAGGGTTAGCAGCTCAAATAATATCCTAATTAAAAGTTGAAAAGTTTGGTGACGAGACAAATAATAGGAGAGGGAATGGATAAATGTCTAATCTAGTAGTAGTAGTCTCCAGTTTTCATGCTTGTACTAAAAGCATATAAAGCCAAAGTACATTACTAATATGATAACCCTCAACTAACAACTCTTTCTCCTGTTTTAGCACTTTCAGCATCATCTACTACGTAATTGAGGACAGTTTGCAAGCTAGCCTCATTAGTCCTATCAAGACCTACTCTTTTTTTCTTTGGTTTGGTACTAATTAATTATTGCATCAAGATAAGCATTATTTTCTATGTCCTTGAAAATGTTGGAATATATTGATCTTGATCATGTTTTATTCACCTTATGCTCACTTCGTAAATACAATGTGAAAATGTAAAATGTACTCGTAACATGCATACAATAGCTTGATACTTTGATAGTGCATTTAGTTTATGTGTAATTTTGTTCCCTTTACACTCCCTTAGACAATTCATCAGTGGCTTAAGAGGTCTGATTGGTTTATTTCACGGTTAATTATAGAACTATAGAGGTGACTGTAAGTTTAATTTCACAAGCCATGCTTTGAGTTGAAAGTATCACCCTTTATCAACAGGTAGGCTTATGGAACCATGATATACCCAAAATTGCATATTCATATGAGATAATGCTTCGTAAAACTATTTCGAATACTCGAGTCATATTAAGGACCGGAAACCAAACTACACTATGTTTGATCTAGGTTGAATTGGCCCATGTTGACTATCTCTAATTAATTATCAAAGTACACTTCGAAATTAACACATTTATTGATTTATAAGTTATTCCTTGGTACATGATACGAGTAATAGAAAACATCTTAAGCTCTTAACCTTCACATAAATTTCCTATTGGGCTAAAAGGCCCATAACCCTTGTTTATTTATTTATAAACCCCAAATCTTCTTCCATATACTATGGACCAACATCACATTTATTCATCCAAAAACATTGGAGATTACCAAGTGCTTTCATCACAAGGGTAGCATTTCTCTTGAGCAACATCAGTAATTTGAACTCCAGTATCATAAATAACTCCAGGTGTCCAATCAGATGGTAGTATTACTTGAGTCCTATAATAGTTGAAATCTTCATCACCTGATTTCACCAAAAACCCAAACCTCAATGGGCCTTCTGGCACATGATTTGTTTCCCATACAGCCCCATAGCTATGCTTTAATGTTCTCCAAACGTGTTGCCCCACCTATACACACATCGTAATAACGGTTACATTTCCCGTGTTTGCATCAATTTGACTATGCAAGAAATTGAAAGGATAATAAATATTTTTTTTTTTTTTTACCGTGGCTATATCAATAGCATCAACCTGTGTTTGACCACCTTGGTATAAGATTGTTATGGCAAGATAATTGGGCCTTTGACTGTACTCTTGAACTCGTACTGCTAGGTTTCTATTTTTTTTAACACAAGGTACCCTATAAATTAAATAGCTCATTAATTTTTCTTACAGTTGATCATCCAATTTGTCAAAGATATAAGAAACAAAACTAAAATGTATATATGTTTCCATGGAAATAATCCAACCTCTTATACTCAATATCGACTATGCCAAGGTTCAAGAGATCCTGTGACCTGCCGTGGTTAGCCATGGCGATGAAAGCATCCTTGTTAAGAACAAAGTCTGTCCTATTATCACCTTGACGTTCAGTTAACATCACTGGAGTGCCTTCTTTTTTGCATAGCGCATTATTCTTGCACCTCACCTGTCATAAATATACTTTGCATTATAAGTATTTATATGTCAATTCTTAAATTAAAATCTATTGTTAAATTTCGTATGACTTTCAATTAATTCAAAAACGCGAGCAACTTAAACAACAAGGAGGCAAATGAACCTTAAAGCAAGCACCACAACCAGCACCTCCTTTGAAAAGGGAAGGAAGGCCAGAAGCAAGTAGTCCGTCATTGAAATTCCAGGCTAAAGGTCCATAACCACATCCTCCAGCTACAATGTTAGATTAGTCAAAATTTGCATATTATACATGTAATAAAGTTTGAAGTAACAAAAAATGAAAGCAGAACAACAATGCTTTTAGTAAGGAAGATAACTACAGTAGATTTGAGAGGTATAAGTGGCCTTCGATTGGTGCAAGCAACTATCACAAGCCGAATTAGCAGATGAAAAGAAAATGAACAAGACAAAGATCAAAGCGAATGCTGCCATTGCTTTAGCTACTTGTTAATCTTAATCTTATAATTAAATACAGAAAATTTGATTATGGATATGATGATGAGAACCATGCATTATTTATAAGTGCATAGGGCTTGTCTATTCATATACTTGTATATAGGAGGGATGACAAGTATATCATTGGCGGCGTAGCCATTTGATATGTAGAAACCAGCTGCAAAATCCAAGCTACATGTTACAAGTAAACCCAGGGAATGAAATTAATTATAGAAATGTATTTTGACTTTGAACATTAAAGTTAATGTGTTTGTGTGCTACTCCATACTAATTGTTTAGTTAAAGTAAAAAAGTATAAAATGTTTTACGCATACATTGTACTAAGTCAATGGTTTTAATACCACCAAATCAGGGGTTAATGAGGTTAATTATAATGTATAAATGCAAAATAATTGATAATTTAAGGGATGTTCGTCAACTTTCAAGGGTAGTGGACTAGTGGGTAGGGCGTTCCCGTGTTCTACAACTTCTACTACTAAGTTATATTCCATGGTCTGCCTACCGTTATGATTCATAACTACAGATCAAGTTGTTTGGATCATGTTCGATTTAGGCCAATTTAGTTCAAATCGTATTTGTGTCACACAATTTAAAAGGGGACAAGCTCGAGTTTATTGGCAATCAATTAATTACTACTAACAAAAATCAAAATCAAAATTTTCATACTAATCTGAGGCGGGTCAGTATCTGGGGAGCTGAGGTCTGATGTTGATCCCACCTCAATTTTGTAAAAAAGATCATTAACCTTGAATCCTCCCAAAAATAGCCACTATATTAATGAAGACTTGATCATCAAAGTGGACACCCACCAACATAAAAACAAAATCACATGAACCAAATCACATATTATTAATAACGCCAAAATCTCATTAAAACATCAACCTGATAACAGACAATAATCACAGTTACAGCTGACATTTAATTAAGTGATGACCTTCAAAAACTTGAGTATATCCTTGTACATGTACATTGCTATTCGCCACATAAACACAAAGTATAAGTAGGGACATTTTGGTCATTACACATTGTGCCGTGAGTACCTTAACAGATCAACTAGGCAAATCCAATTGCAAACCAATTCAAGAACAAACAAGGAGAGCAAAGCAGGGGAAAGTGACTCACAAAACAACTCCAAATGCAAAGCAAGAACAAACAAAGAGATAAAAGGCAACTCATAAGTCTCATATCGCAGTGCCAGAGTTGCTCCTGGCTACAACTGATGCAACAAAGTTTACATCAGAAGATGGCAGTTTCCATTATAGGTTATTAGGAGTGGGGAGTGAAAACAGAATAGAAGTGATGGCCAATACTAGCAGGATCATATGAGATCTATCATATCATTCATTCATTCATATGAATAAAGCCTTTCAACTTAGATTGGTTGACAAGTACTAAGAGACACAAAAGAGTAAATTAAGTTTCATTACAGACATACAAAGTCAGATAACAACCATGACAGTATGACATGAAGCCAACTCTTCCATCTTCAGCCTTTTTTTGCTACAATTTTGAGCTCTGATAACAAGTACGGAATAGTACACGAAAATCTTCAGGCACACAACACTACTACTAAGAGGAGATCAAAGCGGCATGATCATTTCCATGGTTTACAAGGAGTGCAACCGTCTAGAGCAATATCCTTAATTTGCACTTTGGAGATATACATGACACCAGGCTTCCAGTTCGCGGGTAGGACTTCATTGGTGTAGAAATACTGAGCTTTGAACCCTGAGTTTATGGAAAACCTGAACATCAGTTTCCCAGTTGGAGCCTTGCTTGTGTCCCAGACTGCCCCATAATTTCGGCTCATGGGAATCCAGTTACTTGGTTTACCAGCCTATTTACAGAACATAACATATACAAGTAAAAGTTAAATGTTTGCTATTCTTTAGCGAAGAAGGTTTATTCATAACATATCAGGAAATGTAGAGGATTGCTTACAGAAGCAACTTCGGCTCCTAGGATAGTGGTTTGACCGCCTTGGTAGAGGATTTTGATTGCCAAATAGTTCGGAGGTTTGCTGAACTCTTCCACTCGGATAGTCAAGTTTTGACCTTTGTAATTACAGGGAACCCTGATGCATATTCAATATCATTATGTTAGCATTACTTTATAAGCCATTTCTTATATAGAGTAATAAACTAGTAACCAATAGAGTTGAAAGAGCTTTCCTAAAAGCCAAACTAAAAGAAAAAAATAAAAAAGTTGAATGATTGCTATGTTGGTTATCAATACAGCAGCAAGATCAGCCTATTGCCTGAAATTTCGGACGAAATCTCAATACAATGATTACAAGGAGGATGATCAAAGTCTTAAATACCTTAATAAGCAAATTTTAGTAAGACTTGGGTTAGGTACACTTCTAACATTTCACTCCCTAACTATTTGGCAACTAGCTTAATAAGCAAGGTGTCACAATACAAACAATAACATCCTAACATAAACATCCCTTAAAAGTATCATCATTCACAAAAGCAAACACTCCATAAATTTTACCAAATACAAAATTATTCCTACAAGAAAAACATGAATTAATATAAAAACCCTAGCTTTTCATAAACATGAAAATCAAACATAGTGATTGATACATAGATCAATAGTGGCCAAAGCTTCAAATAAGCTAAGTAATGAAAATCACCTCTTATATTCGACATCAGCAATCCCAATCTGTTCGAGTAGTGTGTCTTTACCAGGCAAAGCCATTGCCCTAAAAGCTCTGCTACTTAGCACAAAATCAGTGGTGTTGCTCTTATCAGTGTGTATATCAGTCACAACAATTGATGTGCCTGTTGTACTGCAAACACCGACTTTCTTGCATCTTATCTGCTCAACATAACAACAAACCACTTCACTTTATCTACTCCGAATTTAGTTGTCACATTGTTAGTTCAATTTACGCTATCAATGCTACTACAAAACCAGAACCAAGGGAGCAATAATTATAGAAGATCTTAGCAATTGTAACTTTAACCACATTTTCACACAATTAATCTCACTGTAACACAAAAGTACCCAAATTTTACACCAGAAACAAAGATAAAAAGGATATACCTGAAAGCAAGCACCACAACCTTCACCTTTCTTGTAAATAATAGGAAGAGCAGCAGCAACATGACCACCATTTAAGTTTAGAGCTAATGGACCATACCCACATGCTCCACCTATATTATTTCAACAAATTAAAGGTTACCCACTTCAATTTTTGCAAAATTATCATCTGAGTTGTTGCTAATTTAGCCAAAATTAAATTAAAATTCATCTGGGTCTTCAAAAAAATTCAATTTAAGAAAAAAAAGTTAAAAGTTTTTATGAGAATGGAGATGAAAATTACCAGAAAGACCTTTAGAACTAGCAAAGAACGCAGCTTTTGCAAAGACACATTGGTTACAAGTAGGAGTAGCAGCAGAAGCTGATGAAAAAAAGAGGAAGAAGATGAAACAGAGTAAAACACCCATTTTTCAATTTTTTTTTTTTTTTTTAGTGAGATTTTTAAGTGAGGGTTTTTTTTAGGAGGGGGGGTTGGATTTGGAGACGGTGATGTTTGCTATTTATAGAAAGAATACAAAGTGAGCAGTGACTGTGAGGGAGAAAGGGGGAGAGTGGAGCTGTGGAGTACAGACTATGATGGGGTAAAATGGTAAATTCGTGATAGTTTGCGATTAATTTATTCAAAGCATAGGTTTCTTAAGTAGTGAAAGAGACTTACCAAATGCACAAAGCGCGGGAAAATTAACTTGGCAAAGCAGCATGAATTGATTTAAACTACTCCTTATCCACTTAGTAACCTAAGCAAATTCTTTATCCGCTTTAAAATAATTGCAGCACGGGAGTAAGCATAATCCTAAAACCTGTAATATTTTTATATACTAACATTTAGATGCTCCACTCCATACTTTAAGAGACACAAAAATAAAAATAAAACTAAACTTGCTTGATAGAGGTAGTGAAGAAGGTCCCAAGTTTGAATCCCACGATACATATATTTATATATAGAGGGATTATTCCCTAACCTCAAAATGTGGTTATTTTTTTTTTAATTGATGAAGAAGAGATATTTCTCTCAAATACAAAGTAACTCTAGGGTGTCATACTAATGGGCAATTGAACTTTTTATTATTGAAAATAATATAGCCAAACACTTCTTTTAGCCTTCTACATAGAATCAACAGTAATCAAAGTATGGCAATTTGGAAAGGATTTTTTAATTAATGAATAGTAATACATAGCTTCATTTTTAGCCTTCTACATAGTAATACATAGCTTCATTAATTAGCATTGATCAAAATGATCACCTATGAGTTGGGTGGCAATAACTACATATTTGTATGTGGCTACACCAGCACGTGACTTTGCCCAAATTTGGAGAGTCTTTTTTAATATGCTTGTCTTTAAATGAGTTTAATCCACAATATCCGTATCAGCTAGTCGACGAATATGACGAAGGAAGGTTTAATAAATGAATAAGACAAATCACCACCTTTTTTTTTTATTTTTTATTTTTATTTTTTTTTAAGGAAAGACAAATCACCATCTATTATCGCTAAATTATATATTTGACACGAAAAATATTACGAGGACTCCATAATTTTTTTTACTTTGTATGTTGTACAAATCATGTAAAATGAAACGAAGACTATTATTTTAATTAGTGTTCATTTGGTTTACATATGAATTAAATTTCTACATTAATTTCTATTTCATGTGAATTTAATTCTTACTTGAAATTTTTAATAATGGTACAATGATAGAAATGAAGCTCATTACATCCGGATTATATGGTATCTTCATCTTATTATTCACAAAGTTTTATATGATATTATAGATTAGAACACCATTTAATTAAGAATGTCCAACAAGTATCAAAGATAAAGGAATGGAGAAAGAAACTCAAAAGAGTAAATAAGATTCAAAGATTGAAAGACATACAAAATCAGATAACAACTACAGAGTACAAGTACTATATGAAAGTATGAAACCGAGCCACCATAGCTTTTGCCTTGGGCTTTTTTGCTACAATATTATGAGCTTTAGTAACAACCAAAAAATAAATTACATATAGACACACAACAACATTACTCAGAGGAGATAAGCGTAGCGCGCCCGAATTGTTTCCATGGTCTACAAGGAGTGCAACCGTCTAAAGCAACATTATCGATTTGTACACTTGTGTTGTATATGACACCAGGACTCCAGTTCGCCGGTAAGCCTTCATCAACGTAGAAAAACTGTGCATCGAAGCCGGAATTGATTATAAATCTAAGCATCAACTTCCCGCTTGGAGCGTTGTTTGTGTCAAAGACTGCCCCATAATTTCGGCTAAAGTACACCCAGTTACTTGGATGATCAACCTATATCCATATTAAAGGCGAAAATGGTTGATCAAAAAAGAGTTTAGTGAGACTACATATTGGCAAATCATGGTTTTATTAGGACATGTAACGCTTAAGTACTTACTGAGGCTACGTCGCCACCTAAGATAGAGGTTTGACCACCTTGGTAGAGGACTTTGATTGCCAAATAGTTAGGAAATTTGCTGAACTTTTCAACTTGGATCGCCAAGTTTTTACCTTTGTAATCACATGGTATCCTGATGCATAATGATAATTATTACAATGTATGTTAGTATATAAAAATATAAAATAAAAAAGTCACACATTATTTAGATCAATTTATAGGGCCAAATCTTGATATAATTATATAAGTTTATGAGAGACTAAATGTGCTATCTCATCATGCACTATCGACCTTGTTTTCTGAAGGTTCAATGGGCACTCAAGAGGGGGGGGTGAATTGAGTGTTAAGTAATCGTTAGCGATTTTTGCTTCTTTTCGGATTATGTGTAAGGAACCAGTTGTGCTGGTTCCCTTATGCAGCGGAATAAAACAAAGCAATAAAGAACACAACAAATTTAACGAGGTTCAGCCAACTCAGGCCTACGTCCTCCTATCCTAAGTCCTTTATTAATCTACTCCGAAAAACAAAGACAAAGAACACTCTACTGTTTCCCTACTCCGGGAACCAGTCTACCCCACACTCTACTCCGAGTGTGCTCTCGACTTACACTCGTAAGCCCAATGTGTTTGAACTCACAAACACTCACCCAGCCTTTAACCCCTTTGTTAAAGACTCAATACAAGAATCAAGAACTCTCCTTTGATCTCACTTCTACGAAGCTAATTAAGAGAAAATGTTTTTGTACTAGAATGCTCTTGTATATGACTTGATGAATGGGATTAGTGCTTAAGTATATGCTCTCAAATAATTGCTCTTTTTAATTTCTGGAGAGGCACACGAAATATGTGAAATAAGATGAGTTTATATAAGCTTAGATTCCTAAAACCTAGTTTCCTTAAATCACACAATCTTAGAGAATAAGATATATTGTAATTTTAGGAAAGTATTTATCTTATTTGATTTAATCACAAAGATAGAATCAATTAAGATAAATACTCCTAGTTTTTAGGTAACCAAGAATATTTCATCTTATTTCCAGCTGCACAAAATATTTTCAAAATAATCTTTTCGAAAAAATCTTTTTGTAAAATCTTTTTCCAAAACGGCAGCTCGAATATTTCGTACAGTGAACCTGGTTCCCCGACCTGGTTCCCTGAATTGAAACATGTTATGAAACCTGTTCCAACTTTGTACCAGATTTCATATCATACTTCAATATACTTTTAAGCACTTATATAACCCAAACATGCAAGCATACTACGGAGCATATTACATGAAAACCTAGATAACATATTAAAGCATAAATCGTCTTTTCTTCATGTAATCTTCAAGACTTGAATCTTCCTTGAATACTTCTATTATGAGCAAACAATCTTTCTTCGAAATATCTTCGAAAGGCTTCTATGCTCCAAGTCTTGGAATCAACTCAACTACTGCACATGTAACATGGTTAATGCACAATAAAAAGTATGTGACTGCTTTTCCGCATAGCAGTCAAGGAAACGGTTCATACTGGTTCCCCACCAGTACATAGCACATTTATCATCTAACTGTTTCCTGTATATAGATAAGTTAGTTCAATAGATAACTCATATAATCAATAACTTATCTAGGAAAACAGTGTTCTATTTTAGTTGGTTCCCCCAACTGTATTGAACACTTTCAAAGACCTGTTTCCCTTAGCTGTTTGTCATCATTCAAAACTATCAATCAAAACCTAAGGGACTCAACAAATTCCCCCTTTTTGATGATGACAAACTCTTGAAGTTCTTGAACCTGTGGACATGCTCAAAAAGAAAACCGTCAAAAACTTCAAGGACTCAAAACTCTTTGGAACAAGTCAGTTAGGCTAACTGGTCCCCTAAACAGAAAATAGAAAATACGAAATAAAAAGACTCAAACTGACTCAATCTAAACTAGCTAAACCTCAAACTGACTCAATCTAAACTAGCTAAACCTCAAACTGACTCAATCTAAACTAGCTAAACCTTAGGCTTCAACTTCAAACTACTTCCCCCTTTTGGCATCATTAAAAAGTATCCACAAGTAAAAGCAATGTGCACAAGTTAATGTGCTTATCCATACAATGGCATCAACCACCGTTCAAGCATTATGCTGCAAAAAGAGATTAGTCAAACAGTTCATACCATAGCAGAGTTAGTAGTTCATACAAGCCAACAAAGTTCAACCAAAGAAGCCCAAATCCATCCAAAAAGAAAGTTCATGGAATGGAGAGAAGTAGACAGACCAACAAAATCAGTTATTTTAGAATAAACATGAGGGTGAGGAAACAAGAACAGAAACAGCATCACTCCTCGTCATCATTCTCGTTCCCTTCCTCCTCCTCGAACTTTGCAACATCTTCTGTATTATCATCTGATTCCTCTTCATCCTTGTCACCATGCTCTGCTTAAACCAAAATCATTATATTACTAAGCATATTCTTGTGATTCCCCAATCTGTTTCAAAACCACTTCCTGACCTGCTGGTTCCTCTATTTTTATTTTTTTTATTTTTTTTTTTTATAAATCATGAGAGATCCGCACTTATTCATAAAGTTCTCCTTGTTGCATAACGAGTACAAGACTAGCATCACATCAATCAAGCAAAGACCTCCACCCTTTTGTGGTGTGAAAGGTTCTTGCTGGTACCCTTTTTCTCTTGGTTTCCGGAAGAGAATTAATGGACTGTTCCTCCTACACCTTCTCAGTGAACTTCTTTAATGAAGATTGAGTTACTCTACTTCGTACCATGGTCTTAACAATGAGTGTCTCCTCATTGTAACCAACAATCTCTATTTCATCCTCTTCACTCTGACTTTTCCGAATTTCCTCCAACTTCGGGCTTAAGGACATTTGAGCTTCCTTCTGATGTTCCCCCTGAGACTGAGCTGGTTCCTTGAGTGAACAGTAACCGAATGAACAATGATGAATTTAAAGCATACGAGAGAGAGAAAGAGAATTTCGAGTGATGATGATTGATGATCTGCACAAAGGGTTAGTGTATATTTTTAACAATGAAGCACAAAGAGAGAAGAAGGAAAGAAAAGAGTTAGTTGAGCCAATAAAAAGCAACTGTAAAGGATATTTTTTTTTATTTTTTATTTTTTTATTTTTTAAATTGAAATCAAAAATTTGGTAATTATCTTTTACCATAATTATCTCAACCAACTATAAATAAGGCATATGATATGTTTGCCTTTTATATGGGATTAAATAACTGAAATAAGATAAATTCCTTCCAAAAGGAAATATCTTATAGTAATCTTCCGAAAATAAAAGATATTATCGGATGACATATCAGAGCTGGTCTGCTGTTTCCCTTTGCTGGTACCTGTATAGAACCATGTCACGCTGTTTCTGGCAATTCAGCCTGATTTCACCTGTTTCTTACAACAATGATTCTCAATCCTTTTGAGATTTTGAACCATCTACACAACACTTGAAAGATATCAACATAAGTATGTACACACACTATTCAAGAGAATACCATTCTAACCAATCATTGAAGGAAGTAATTGAAGCCAATACCTAAAATCTAACTAGACCTAAAAGGACTCTTAACCTAAAAAAAGACTCTCTACACAAAGGCTTTGTGAAGATATCAGCAATTTGATCTTCACTTTTACAAAACAACATCTCCATCAATCCTTTTTCCACATTGTCTCTTAAAAAATGGTGTCTTATTTCAATGTGTTTTGTCTTGGAGTGTTGCACAGGATTCTTTGAAATATTGATTGCACTAGTGTTATCACAAAAAATAGGAACACTTTTATAAATAACACCAAAATCTTTCAGCTGGTTCCTTATCCACAGTAGCTGGGAACAGCATGAAGCTGCAGCTATATATTCAGACTCTGCTGTGGATAGGGCCACTGAATTTTGCTTTTTAGAACCCCATGAAATTAGACAAGAGCCAAGAAAGTGTGCCATACCTGATGTGCTCTTTCTATCAACTAAGAAACCAGCATAATCTGCATCTGTGTATCCAATAAGATCAATGGTACTGCCTTTGGGGTACCACAATCCCAGATTTGTTGTTCCTACAAGATACCTAAGTATCCTTCTAACAGCCTTCAAGTGAGATTCCTTTGGATTGCTTTGAAACCTAGCACACAAACCAACAGAAAACACAATGTCAAGTCTACTAGCTGTTAGGTAAAGTAGAGAACCTATCATTCCTCTATAAAGAGAAGCTTCAACATCTTTTCCCTTAAGATCAGCATCTAATTTTGTAGATGGGGGAACAGGTGTATCATAAGCTTTGCTGTTCTCCATGCCGAATTTTTTCAGCAACTCTTTTAAGTACTTTTGTTGATGGATCATTATTCCATCATCCATTTGCTTAATCTGCAGCCCTAGGAAGAATCCTAGTTCTCCCATCATGCTCATTTCAAATTCACTCTGCATAAGATTAGCAAATTCATCACATAAAACCTGATTAGTAGCACCAAATAAAATATCATCAACATAAATTTGTACTACAATCAAGTGTTTCCCCCTGGTTCTTATGAACAAGGTCTTGTCTACTGTTCCCCTCTTGTAATCATTTGCCATCAAGAAATTGGACAATCTTTCATACCAAGCCCTCGGAGCTTGTTTCAACCCATATAATGCTTTGTCCAACTTGTACACATGTTGGGGGAACAGTGCATCTTCAAAACCAGGTGGCTGCTCCACATATACTTCTTCCTTTAAATATCCATTGAGGAAGGCAGTCTTTACATCCATCTGAAACAGCTTAAAATTCATGTGAGCAGCATAAGCAATTAAAATCCTAATAGCCTCTAGCCTAGCTACTGGTGCAAACGTCTCATCATAGTCAATTCCTTCTTGTTGATTGTACCCTTGCACCACTAGCCTTGCTTTGTTTCTGACTATAGTACCAAGGTCATCTAACTTGTTTCTAAAGACCCATCTAGTGCCAATGACTGATCTTTCCTTGGGACGGGGAACCAGGTGCCAAACCTGGTTCCTCTGAAACTGATTTAACTCATCTTGCATAGCTAGTACCCAATCAGGATCAGTCAATGCCATTTTATAGTCAGTAGGCTCTACATTAGACAGGAAAGAATAGAAAGCACAAAAGTTTTGAAAAACATTTGTTCTCGTTTGAATCCCCTTATTTATATCA